TTTCAAAGTACTGATTGATGTCCTGTATCATTTCTTTTTAATTTAATTTTTATTAACGTTTTTTATATTACTCAAACGCACAAGAAAAAACAATACAATCCATAACTAACGATGAACCTTAACAATATAAACTAGGTGGTTGTCTCAACACAATATTATTTATCTTTAGTTATCACAGGTTCCTGTGTAAGTTTAACCAAGAAGAAGTATGTATAACTAACGGATAAATCTCTTCCTATAATCCAGATAAACATTACAAACAAGTAAATATTTCCTTATATTTAACAGGCATATGACATAAAGGTGATGAGTGTGTATTGTGGGTATAATCCAGAAATGGTGCCCATTTGGCCAGTAGGTTTGTAGTAAGTCCTTGTTCTTCAATCCATTTTATGGAATCCGATAATTTTGTCCACTGTCAATAGGTCCCATAATTTTGTGAACCATCTTCCACTGGAACTGGCATCCTTCCAGCTAGATGCTATTAGAGTCTTGGCTGCTGAAAGCATAGTGGAGATTAGTTCTTGTCGTATTTTGGGTATCGTATTGTCTGTCCAGAGATCCAACAAAATTAATTCTGGGGTTTTCGTAATCTCATAACTCCTTATATCCTTAACGTACATAATTATTTTCTCCCAGAATTCTTTTACTATGCAACAATCCCACCAAAAATGTAAAAAGGAGCCAGGTTCGCCACATTTCCTCCAACAAAGTGGTAAGTGGGGGAAATATGGTGTACTTTGCTGGGGGTAGTGTACCATCTCATCATCAATTTAAATGCCTGCAGTCTTATAGGAATAGATCTAGATGTGAGGGATGACGAAGCCCAAATCTTTTTCTAATCACTTTCAGTTATGGAATTGTTGCAGTCTGCTTGCCAACTTATTTGATATTGCAATGGTTGGGTCAGAATCGATTCCACTAAAATTTTATATAAGGATGAGATAATACTTTTGAGATGCAATTGAATAGTTTTTAAACACTGTTCAAAGGTTGTAAGCGGGCGACATAGTCCTGTACGATAATAATCTGAGCAATAAAGAGAGTGAAGTTGGTGGTATTCCAACCATGGTATGTGACATGAGTGTTTTTGTTCCAGGTATTCCCTATGTGCTAAATTAGGCCCTTGTTGTACATCAACAAAGCGAGTGAGGTTGTTGTGCTTCCATACTTCAAAAATACCTGGTAAGTATGCAGGAGTGAACCATGATTGTTCTATAAATGTACTCATTGGGGAAGGTGGGAGTGCTAGTATTTTTTTTCCTTTTATCCCAGATTTTAAAAATAGTACTTAGGAATTGATTTTGGATAATATCTTTAGGCCTATGAGAAGGAAGTTCCCACAAAAGACTTTGAAATTTATGGTCTGTCACATACATACTTTCAACGTGTTTCCAATCACTATTAAAGCTATTACTATATGTTTTTAAAAGACCCACCAGAATAACTGCTTCGTGGTAGAAAACCAAATCCGGTAATGCTAGTCCACCGTTATAGATGGGTTTTTTCAATGTATTGTAGCTAATCCTAGGTTTGGGTGAATTCCAGATGAATGTTGAGATGGCTTTCTGCCAATCTTTGAAATATGCCTTAGGGATGTCAATAGGGATTGCTCGCATTAAATATAAAATTTTGGGAAAGAAAAAAGTTTTAACAATCTGTAATTTTTCCATCCAGGAGGACATTACTGAGGCTTGTTTCCAATGTGGTTTTTCTATTAGGTGTTTGAAGGAGAGAAAATTAACCTTCAAGTGTACATTTCGAGAAATTAATACTGCCACACCTCTAGACTTGGATGTGCCTGATGCTACTTTTTTTTGGCCCCCCAAAGAGGATTTTTTTAATTTCATTTTTATAAACACTACATACTATAACAGAAATAGGGTAGGGGACTACACTAGGGACAAAGTAAAGATACCCACTAATACCTAAAAACCCAAGAGAGGAGATCTTCTAATCAGTTTATACAAAACATCAAGTCTTCATCCCACTAGCCCCTTTACAAACTGAGTGAAGTATATATCATTAACTTTTTAAATTTTTACATTCAACTATTGTTAAGAAATATCCCCAAGCATCAAATTTTTAACTTTTTTCAAAGGCACAACTCAGAGTCCTTCAGCCTTCACTTCTCCTTGCCCCGTCTCTTCCGCAACTTATAAGGACTTTTAGGAGCTGCTGCACCTTTCTCAGAAAGAGAGTCCTTCCCGGAAGAATCCGAGTCTAGCTCGCCCACTGGACTTACTGCCCTCTTCTTCTTTTTCTTCCTCCTCTGGCCCTCCCATCTGGACTCTTAGAAATTCCCGAACTTCCAGAAAAGAGTCAATCTTTTCTTTTTTATCCTTGATTTTGAAGGTGATGCCTTCTGGAGTTAGCCATCTATATCCAATTGAATTTGTCTGAAGAAAGAGAATAAGCTCTTTATACGTCTTTCTCCTTTGCCTTATTTCAAATGGAATGTCTTTGAGAACTTTAATGACATTCTCCCCCACTTTCAGGGGTACTCCAGATACAGCTTTGAGGATTGCATCCCTCACATGCCTCTTCGAGAATCTAACGACAATTTCCCCAGGCAGATTATTTTTCTTTATATATCCTGAATATGACCTATAGGCCACATCCACATCGCTTATCAGCTGTTCCACCTTTATCTCTGTCACTGGGGCCAATATTTCAGTCATTAGTTCCTTTAGATTCTCACCCGTAGACTCTGGCATGCCCTGGAAGCGAAGAATCATATTCGCCTTTTCCATTTGTAGTTGTAGCAATTGCTTTTCTGTGGAGACTTGCTTCTTTTCCAGTTGTTTTACTTTCTTCTTCACCTTTTGTGCAGTGGCATCCACTTCTTTCACCTTCTCAGCTGTTTGGTTCATCATTTTCAGAGTCTCGCTTATCTGGTTTTGCTGAGCGGTGACGCATTGGGTCATTTTATTCATCTGCTCTTTGAAGTTATTCATCTAGTCCATTAGAGGGCGCATGGATTCTGCCAAAATCATTGCCAGCTCATTGGTTCCTTCCAGTTTTGGGCTCTCCATTCCTTTCCTTTCGAAAGCTTCTCCTTTTCTGTCCTCCTTCCCGCCATGTTTTTCGAGTTGTTTACTTTCGCAAATTTTTGAAAGTCTCTGAATATGCGCTTAAACGCTCAAACACTTCTCGGTAAGTACTTCTCAACAGTTTTAGCCGTTTATTCTTCCACTCTCCCCCTCATTCGCTCAAGAATTCGTGCGCATGGGAGGCATCCCTCCTCCGCTCACCTTATTCTCTGCTGCGTAGCTCGGGTAGGGAGCTTTCTTTTCTCTTTAAATCTGCGCTTAAACGACTCACGTTCATAATCGGTCCTTGGACCTCGTTTACTTTTGGTTTTAGACACTCGATCTCCTGCGCTTGCCCCGGTTAGTGTTGCTTAAGTCCATTCTGTCTCTCATAGACCGAATAGACAAAGTCCTATAAATCATAAGTTACTTAAACCACACAGGCCATCTTAACCATGGCAAAATTATATTTATGGCTCTAAATGTTAAAAGCAAGCTTAAAAAATTGAAAGAGCCATATTATGACTTATCTAGATTAACTGTTGTTCATTTATCACATACCACCAAGTAAACCGTATTAAATTCAGAAGAACTGTAACAAAAAAATGCACAGGCACACCTGCCACATTGATCCTTTTAAATGGGAGGGAGGCATTCAACCCCTTGGTTTTGCTCTCCCTTACTCTGGAGCTGGGGGGAGCAAAACCAAGGGGTTTGAAGTCTTCCTCTCATTTAAATTGAGAGCCAGTTTGGTGTAGTGGTTAGGAGTGTGGACTGTAATCTGGAAGAACCGGGTTTGATTCCCCACTCCTCCTCCATATGCAGCTGCTGGTGTGACCCTGGGTCAGTCACAAGTTCTCTCAGAGCTATTCTCTCAAGGGCAGTTTTCTCAAGAGCTCTCTCAGCCCCACCCCCCTGAAAGGGTGTCTGTTGTGAGGAGGCGAAGGGAAAGGAGTTTGTAAGCCGCTCTGAGACTCCTTTGGGTAGTGAAGGGCCATGGGGTATGAATCCAATCTCTTCTCTTCTTCTAAAAGGATCAGCTGACAGGCGGACCCTGTCATGCTGATCTTTTCAAATGGGGGGGGAGCCGTTTCAGCCCTCCCTTTCACTCCCCCCCTCTGGAGCAGGGGGAAGCGAAAGGGACTGCTCAAATGGTTTCCTGGCATTTCAGGCTTACAGAGGACGGGTGCACCTGCCTTGCTGTCAGACTGAAATGGAACTTCTCCCTGTTTCCAAGGGGTGGAAAGAGAAATGGACCCACACAAATGGATGTCAGACATTTCAGGCTGAGAGAGGACAGGCACACCCAACTGCTGTCAGACTGAAATGGCCGGTTGTCAGCTGTTAGGTTTAAATACAGTTCGGTTTGGTAAAGCTGAAAGCTCCCGCTTTTATTCAGGCTCAGCTTATTAGAGAATCTGATTCAGCTGAATAAATACCTCCAAAATACCAATAAAGTATTTTTCGGGAATTTATTTGGTTCGGCTTATACTGAACACACACCCCTACTCTACACAGTATTTTTTCCAAATGAGGCTGCGCCATAGATCTATACAGGGGGCATTACAACATTGGCCATTTTCTTCTCAATCCCTTTCCTATTAATCCCTAACACAGAAGTTGCCTTTTCCACCACTGCAGCACCCTGGGCTGACCCTTTCAGTTTGATGCCAGGGAATGTATTGCTGGCTGCTAGTGTAGACAGCTTTAAAAGGGAGTTAGACAGACTGTATGAATGTTTAAAGACATACATCACAGTAAGCAAAATTCAACACAAAAAGTTCTAAATTAGACAGGCCATGGACGTGGCCAATAGCTCTGAATAACTGAAAAACAAGGCTTGAAGTATTATGTATCTACTGAAGAAAAGAAGGCAGATACTGATTTACATTGATTATAAGCATAAAAACACAAACAAGTTAATATACACCTCACTCTTCGCCTCCTCAAGAAAGCATTATCTTTTACCTGTAATCAGCAATAATAACTAAGCATTTTGCATAGCCAGCAACAATCTTCTCCTGAGTCAGGCAGCCCCTGGAGGAAAACAAGCCCAGCAGATGTGGTCAGCCTGGATGCTCAGAAACTCCTGCTTATGCATACTTTTTTTTAATCGCTAACATTAATTCATGCTTAATGCATCCAAATATGTCCATTTTCAGTAACTGGCAAGCGTATTGGGCTGTTCAATAAAAATGGTAATGAAATCTTGCCACCAAGAGGACAGGCAGCTACAAAGGAATGATGGTGTCACCAAGGGAGAGATAATGTCACCTATGACCTCCAGCCAGACATCCTGGAGTGCGAAGTCAAATGGGCCTTAGAAAGCAATACTAACAACAAAACTAGTGGAGATGACGGTATCCCAGCTGAGCTATTCAAAGTCCGAAAAGATGATGCTTTTAAAGTGCTGCACTCAATATGCCAGCAAATTTGGAAAATGCAACAGTGGCCACAGGATTGGAAAAGGTCAGTTTACATGCCAGTCCCAAAGAAAAGCAATGCCAAGGAATGTTCAAACTATCACACAATTGCACTCATTTCACATGCTAGCAAAGTCATGCTCAAGATCCTACAAGCCAGGCTTCAGCAGTACATGGACAGAGAACTGCCAGAAGTACAAGCTGGCTTTCGAAGAGGTAGAAGAACTAGAGAGCAAATTGCCAACATTCGCTGGATTGTGGAGAAAGCAAGGGAGTACTAGACTACCCTAAAGCCTTCGATTGTGTGGATCACAACAAACTGTGTCATGTCCTTAAAGAGATGGGAGTACTAGACCACCCCACATGTCTCCTGAGAAACCTGTATAAGGGTCAAGAAGCGACAGTTAGAACCTTCCACCAGGCCTTTGGGTAGGAGCCGCCGCCACCACCTTCGCTATACCATCCTCGATGTACCATCCACCTACCAGATTCCATGGAGGTGGTTCAGTCTGATTGCTTTGGGGCGCTCCCACTATTAAGTCCGTGGGTCGCAAACATGAGTTGCTGAGCATCTTGTATAAAGTATAGATTGTATAGATTTGAAGCACCAGTTTTATTGTATATGTAAAATTGTTTTATTGTTTTACTATTTTAAATATTGTTGTTAGTAGGGATGTGCATTTCGGGATCCCGAACCGAAAAAAAGCCGAAAATAACGTTTTTCGGCTTTTTTCGGCTTTTGCAATCCCGAAATGGCTTCCTATGCGTTTTTCCGAATCCCGAAAAAATTCAGGAATCCCGAAAAAATTCGGGTCCATTATAACCAATGGGGCCATTGAAGTCAATGGCAAAAAACCTCTTGAAACTTTGCGGGGGG